CATTCTGACCCCCCCACGATGCACCCCCAACCCTACCCCTCCCCCTCCCCTCCCCCCTCCCCTCCCTACCCCTCCCCTCCCTCCCTCCCCCCCCCCCCCCCCCCCTCCCCCCTCTCTCCCATGGCGTCACCGTCTCCGCCTGCCTCTCCTGGCCCGCGTCCGGGCGCAGGGTGTGGCTGTGGTTGCCGCGGCTGCGCCGACACCATCACGGGCCTGGAGGCTGCGCTCAATGAGACATGGGCGGCAAAGCTCAAGGCGGATGACGAGGCACAGGAGTTGAGAGAGCGGCTACATGCGCTGGGGAGGAAGATGAGTGCGCTGGAGGAGCAGATCGCGGTCACGGAAGAGGCAGAGGCCACCACGGCGCGGGCGCGGGTGCGGGCGAGGTCGGGTGACTCGCGGCCCAAGCGTCCGCTCTCGGCCTTTGCGCTGTTTACTCGCGATGCTCGTGCAGACGTCCGCAGATTGATGCCGGACGCTCCGCTGACAGACGTGCTCAAGGTCATTGGCAAGCGGTGGAAGGAGGCACCCGACACCACACGTGCTCGATACGAGAAGCTCGCCCACGAGCAGGCCCCAGCCCAGGACGCCGCCGCTGCGGCAGCGGCGGCTTCGGCGCTGCAGGCCCAGGTCGAGCACGCATACGCAGCAGCAGAGGATGCACGCCGCCAGCGTGACGACATCCAGGCCGCCTCCCGCGCGTCGATGGACGCTTTCGCCGCCGAAAACGACGAACTACGGTCCCAGGTCGACTCCCTGCTGGCCAAGCTCCGCAATGCGTCGGCCGCCGCCGCCGTTGACGCGGCGCGAATCAAGATTCTCGCAAGGCTCACTCGCGCGCTCCGGATCGAGCTTGCAGCTGCAGAGGGTGCTGAGGCTGGTAAAGCCGGCGCAGGCAGCGCGGTTCATGCACCGCCCGTCACTGCGGCCGCCGCACCAGACGCTTGATGCCCGGCGTCAAAGCGTACGAGGCGCCCGACGCAAGCGTCGTTGCCGTCACTAGAGGATACGCTGCTGCCAGTAGCGGTGATGGCACAATGCCAAACGCAGCGTCCATGAGCGTCAGCCCGATGACCGAGATCTGGCCAAAGGTGTTGAACTTGGACAGCCGCGACGGCGTAATCTCGAGCGATTTGAAGCCGCTGACGTTGAACAGCGCCCGAACTGTCAGCGTGTCACCGAGCGAGCGCGCCCGCAGGTAAAACGCGCCCGCAAGGAGGCCGACGTCGCGGACCACAAACGAGGCGACGAGCCACCACGGGAGCAGCTCAGCAGCGCCCATCGCCAGCGACATGCCCATCACCATGATCTTGTCCGCCGCCGGATCCAGAAACGAGCCCAACACCGTCTTTTGCTTAAAATGAACCGCAATCTTGCCATCGGCCCAGTCAGACACACCAGCGGCGGCAAACATCCAGAACGCCGTCTGCGGGTGACCCTGGACCAGCGCCGCCGCGATGACGGGCGTTGCCACCATCCTGCCCACGCACAGCGCGTTGGGAATGTTCCAGTTTGAACCCTCCGCCTCGATGACCTTGCTCTCCAGCACGTGCTCCGGACCGGCCACACTCTCGACACTCCCGTCACCACTTGAGCTCCTTGCCTTGCCCTCTCCGTCATCGCCGCCGCGTGGGCTACTGCCAGACCCCATGCAGCGCCCGCCGTACCACACTCCCAGCCCTCCCGCCGTCTTGCTCCCCACCACCACCGCATGCCGCCCTGGTAGGCCACATACCCGCGCTGCCACCCGCAGCATCTCCACACTCTACCCTGTCTTCGTTCGAAGAGCAGTGGCTTGTCGCAGAGGGAGGGGGTGACCTGGTGACGGGCGCGGAGGGAAGGGGGGGGGGGGGCAAGAGGGAGGCGGTGGCGGCTGGCTTCCTGGGGACATTCGGTACAGCGAGTTCGTTTGTAGGGCAGACGGATGCTGGCGGTGGACGCAGAGGGACGGCGATGGCATGGAGATGTATATACAAACACATTCAGAGTGGTGAAAGGAGTGCGGGGTGGTGCGATGGAAATTGGGGGGGGGGGGGGGGGGGGGGGGGGGGGCCCGGCGAGGCGAGAGCAGGGTGATGGTGTGAAGGATGGGGGTGGCGATGGGGGCTATCGGGGAGAGAAAAGGGGGGCAAGGAAAAGAACAGAAACCGTGTAGCTTGTGTTCTTGTGTGGATGGGTACATATGGAACTTGAAGTGGCGCATCCATCTGATCGCCATGCCCGCGACTTTGTGTGAGGGCAGCGGGGGTGGCAGCTGGCGGCGAGTCTGTGTCAGCCGACTCGACGCGCCGGACCGAGTCATCACTTCGCTCAGCTGCCATCGCGTAGGGCGAGGCCTACCTATGGATCGGATTGTGCGATGGCTTGTGAGTGTGGATGGCGTAGACGAGGGCAGTGCACGGGAGGGCCTTGCGAGAGTCGCGCCTGTGGTGCTCCGAGCCGTGGCTCAAGGCGGTCCCCAGGCTGAGGATGACCGTTGGCTGGTGGCGGCTCGGGTCGACGAGGCCGTCCGCGCCGGCAACTCAGGCAGGGGCCCTGTAGGCGGCATGCCTGCCCTTGTTGCAGCACTACACGGCGAACAATACACCCACGACCCATCTATATCGGCTCCGAGGACACAGAGCAAGTCGGCGGCGAGCCGGAGCAAGTCGGCGGCGAGCCGGAGCAAGTCGGCAAAGAGCAAGCCGGCGGTAGGGGGTGGGCCAGATGCAGACAATGTCGTCGATCCACGGACACTGCGTGTCATTGTCAATCATATCTACGACATCGAGAGCAAGTTGACCCAGCACGAGGAGCTGCTCACCGATCTACACCACTCCCTGCACGAGTCGTTTGGCTCGGCTCGCGCAGACTCGAAGCATCCGGACCATGCCTCGCCGCCACCGGTCTTGCCATCACCGGCTCCACTCTCGCCCGGACACATCCCGGCCACAGAGCAGCATTCCAGCCCGCTACCGCCGTGCCCGGTCTCACCGATCGGCCACAGCATGTCGTACACGCCCACCAGACAAGCCGAACAAGTCGAACGCGGCCATCCGCTTCGTTCCGCGGTGGCTCTTTATCACTCAACGGCTCGGCCATCTCGTCCCCATACCCCAAGGCGCCACGGATCCCGATCAACACCATATCCACCGCCGAGGCTGCGGCAGCTGGCTCCAGCACAGCCGGCGCCTCATCGCTTGTCCTTCCTTTCCCGATGTCACCGCTTCACGAAGAGCGACGGATGCGACGCCGCGGCGTCAACTCTAAGAAGCGACTCAAGCAGCGGAACCACCATCGGATCCGCGGTCCGCCCACTGTTGCCCCATTCTCTACCCTCGAGGAAGACTGGCTTGCCGCCGAGGGCTATTCGCTGTAAACCCACCTTTGCGCACAGCATACCTCCCTCTTCGCCTCGGCTCGTCGGCCGTTTGTCGGCCAGCCGACCGTTGGGCCAATTACCAGCAGCCACACGCACTGCCAGTGGCAAGCGGTGGCGTACGGCAGTGGCAGCGACAGCGGCAGCGGCAGCCACCACCACTCCACCCCACCGCCACAACCACTGGATGGAGAACGACCGACGGTCGAGGTACCAAGCGTACCTTGCGGCGCAGCAGGCCAAGGGCGGGGGACAGGGCGGCGGTGCGAGCGTGTCAGCCGGAGGCGGAGGAGGCGACGAACGAGACGGCTTCGAGAGCGAGGGTCACGTCCATGCGGGCGGACACGCTGGCGGACATGGGATGGAACGGTACAACTCGATGGTGTCGGACGGCTCGCGGGCATCGCGGAGCTCGGCTGGCGGAGGCTGGCTGGCTCAGTTTGCCTCGTGGTCGGCGAGGCGCAAGGCTGCGTTGCTGACTCAGCTGTTGGAGGACGACGACCAGGCGTACGACGTGGTCCACGCCATGCTTGCGCCCGACATCGAGGCGCGGGTGCGGTCGTCGATGCCGCCGCCGCTGCTGGTGAATCCCAAGCCAGAGGATGGGTTAGACGAGGCGCAGGCCGAGCTGATCCGCGTCCAGCGCGCCCTGCGCCGCACCGAGGCCAAGACCGAGAGCTCCAGCAAGGAGCTGGCCGCGGTCGAGGCCGATTTGGAAGACGCTAAGGCCCGCCTGGACGAAGTTCGTGAACAGATTGCCTCGGCCGAGTCCCAGCTCGAGGAGGATATCGAGAAGCTGGCCGAGACCCAGGCCCGAGTCGAGATGGCCACCCAGGAGCTGCAGGAACTCGACGCCCTCATTCTTGCGTCGGCAGTCGAGTTGGAGGCTGCCGATGAGGCCGTTGACGAGGCTGCGCGCTCGATTGCAGCTGCAGAGTCTATGGCTAGCACCCGCAGAGGCAAGGGCAAGGACAAGGGAAAGAGCAAGAGCAAGAGCAAGGACAAGGACAAGGGTAAGGGCAAGGACAAAGACCAAGACCGCCGCGACGACGAAAATCGCGCCCGCGCCGAGCAAGAGTACGCGCTTATGCTGCTGCAGGAGGAGGAGCGCCGCGCCGCCAAGGCCAGGGCCAAGGCCAAGGCCAAGGACAAGTCCAAGGCAAAGGACAAGGCCAAGGCCAAGGGCAAGGCCAAGGACGTGTCGATGGAGTCGTTTTCTCTCTCGCTCTCGTCCGGCGGCGACGGAGCAAGCAACAAGACACAGTCCAAGAGTCAGGAAAAGCGCAAGGGAAAGCGCAATCTACCAAAGTCGCCTCGCAATGCCGACTCGCCGCGGCGACCGGCAGGTGCTGTCGGATTCAACATGGGCGTCATTGTGACACGCGAGTCGACGACCCGCCCGGGCGTGGTCGTCAACCAAGTGCTGCCGCGCTCGGGCCTCGGTGCAGCCGGCGTTGTTCCTGGTGACCGGCTAGTGAGTGTCAACGGCTTCAGCATCATGTCCAAGGCCGATCTGGTGGTGGCAGCCAAGAATGCATCGCGATCGGGCGAGCCGTTCCCAGTCACCCTCGTCCGGACCCATGACCGCATGACCGTCGAGGTGGTGCCGGCCGGCCCGCGTTCCTCGCCCAAGCGGCCGTCGCAAGAGCCGCGGCCGCGGATTAGCGAGCTGCTGGCGACGTCGTCGCGTGAGGCCCGACCCGGTCTCGGCATCGTCATCAAGGAGTCGACCTCGCGCGGCGGCCTGTACGTCTCGCAAATCTCGCCGGGCTCACCATATGAGCTTGCTGGCGGCAGGCGAAAGGATGTCATTATGGCTGTTGGAACCCGGTCGGTGCGGACAAAGCAGGCGGTGGCCGACGCCTTGCGCCACGCCGGCGCCTCGGTTCTCACCCTCCGGGTCAAGCGCGGCAGCGAGGTCAAGGTCCTCTTCCCGGACCTGCGCACCAGCGACCAGATTCTTGGACTTCTGGGCACTGGCGCGACGCGCGACGAGCTCGAGGATGCCGACGACGAGTCGCCGCTCACTGATGAGCAGATCAAAGAGGTCGAGGCGCACCAGCGGAAGCTTGCCTTTATGCGCTCGTGGTCCAAGGCCAACGGTGTGGTCCTCTCCACCGCACCAGCGGTTGGCGACTCGGGCGTCCTCGTCACCCGGGTTGTGCCCGGCTCGGTCTTTGATAGTGCAGGCGTTGTGGCCGACGATCGCATCGTGGCGGTCAATGACACGCCGGTGACCTCGGACGCCCGAGTCGCCCGCGCCATCGACGCCGCCCGTCATGAAGCGCCCGACCTGGCCATCGAGCTTGTCATCCGCTCACACCATTCGCCCGAACAACACTCGGTGTGGCTGACCCAGCTTCCCCAGCCCGGCTCGACGGCGGTTCGAAGCGGTGAGACGTCGCTGGACATCGACACAACAGTTCTTGCGACTGGCCCGACCCCGCGCAGCCGGGTCGAGCGCTGCGCTGTATGCGGGACGCGGGCTACTCACGACTCGCCGCTTTCGCTCTGCGGAGGCTGCCAGTCGGTGGCGTACTGCTCGCGCGACTGCCAGCTCACCCACTGGCCTGAACACAAGCGCGAGTGCGCCCGGATGCACGTGGCATCGACTGCAACCGCACCCGTCGCCAGCCCACCCACTGCCAACGAGAGCGACCAGTCCGACAGCGTCGGCGCGGCCGTGACCGAGAGCGAGTCGGATCCGGTCCTTGCCAACGAGCCACAGCCAACGCCGCGTCGCCGACGCAACCACCGCCGCGGCGGCGACACCTCGGGCCACCGCTCGAGCGGTCGCCGCAACCACCGCCGGCGTGAGCATCGAGACGCGCCCTCGTCGCACAGCGCTGCCGCCATTACTGCCTCGGCCTCGGCCACCACCAACGACTCGGACCGCACGCTAGACGATTCCCGCAACACTGTTGTCGACGTTCATGCAGATGGCGAGTTCTCGCCGGCCAGCCCCACCATCGCCGTCACCTCACTCTCCCACGACACGCTCAATGCCGGCGGCTCGGACGGCTCAAACGGTTCGGACGACGATGACGAGTACGTTGTCCACACATCAGCCTCGCTTCCACGCCAACGCTCCAGCACTTCGCGCATCAGCGATGGCGAGTATGCCGAGTATTGAACGCCGCCCAGCCAGTATGTGACAGCTGCGATGAGGAGATGAGGAGTTGCTTGACACGCCACTTGTCGCCAGCGGACGAATGTCCGACAGCCCGCGGCCGCCGGCCACGGCAAGCCCTCTGCCCTCCACGCATGCATCTGCGTCTACCTCCAGACCAAGCTCCGTCACAGCCGAGAGCGAGACAGAGTCAGCGTCTGGCGGTGAGACAACTGCCGACCATGCTCTGGTCGCCCACCTGTCCGAGTCGTCGTCGTCGTCTGAGGTGTCCGCTGCCAGCGACGGCGACACGGGAGGCGTGTTCAAGGCCGACATGACCGGAACGGCAAGGAGTCAGGGCGGAGACCGGGCTGACGGGACTGATGCGGCTGATGCGGCTGATGCGACGGGATGCTCGGGGAGGGAGAGTGGCGGAAGTGTCGGCTTGCCGGGGGAAGGCGGGGGGTCGGCGCTGGTGACTTGGCTCAGTTTGGCGGGCCTGCGCCGGTGATGACCGACTCGACGACGAGCTTCACGCGGGTGGTGCCGGCAGAGCCATCGCCCGGAACAGTGGCAGCGCGCGGCGGAGGCATGCGAGGCAAGTCAAGGAAGCATGTGCGCAAGGCGAGCTCGAGTCGGCGGAGCTCATCGGCGCGCGGTCCGCAGATGGTGCAGCTCAAGCCGCTGCCCGGCACACTGGAGACCGAGGGCGAACCAGAGATGCCCAAAGTGCAGATGCGAGTGCAGGACGCGCTGCTCCTGTATCCATCAACCGAGGTGCAGACGAGCTCGGTGCACGAGTGGGCGGTGGCGTTTGGGGCCCGGCTCCGTGCGCCGGCATCGCGGCATCGAAAGGTTTGGAACATCATTGTGCTGATGTTGGTGGTGTTCCAGGCGGTAATGCTCCCAGTCCGGCTCGGATTCCGGTCGCTGTGGGGCTCGTCGCCGACATACGTCGGACTGAGCGTTGTCGATTACTGCTCAGACCTGGTGTTCTGGGCAGACATCGGGCTCAACTTTGTGACGCCGTTCTCTGTCCGTGGGGTGTACGTTGCGGCGCCGGCTAAGATCCGCAAGCACTATCTACACTCTTGGTTTGCTCTGGACCTTGTGGCGACACTTCCGATTGATCTCCTGCACTGGGGCTTTTGGCAGCATGCGGCACTGCGGCTGCCGCGGATGCTGCGGCTGGCCAAGCACCGATTCTACCTCAAGCAGTGGCTAGAGCGGACCAACCACCAGTTCCTGCTTCGGTTTCTCAAGCTCTTCTTTGCCTTTCTTCTCACCATTCACTGGCTGGCGTGCAGCTACATGGCGATCTCGTACGACCGCGGGTTTGGGGCGTCGATCTGGCTAGCCAAGGCCGAAGTCGAGTTCATGTCGACAGCGAACCAGTATCTGTACGCCTACTTTTGGGCGACCAACCAGCTGACCAACAAGGGCGGCGGGATCATCCGGCCGCAGACGCTATTTGAAATGGGCATCGAGCTGGTCATTGCGCTCATGGCTCTGTTCGGCATCGCCACCATCATCGGAGCCATCTCGCGCATCATTGCGCAGCTCGACGTGTCTGGCGAAAAGTTCCGCCAGAAGATGCTCGAGGTCAACCTCTTTCTGCGGAACCGCAAGCTCCCACCCGAGCTTGCAGACCGGATCCGCGACCACTACATCTCGCTCTGGTCGCGCCACGGCGGGTCGACACCGCACACATCCTAATGGAGCTCCCGGTGACGCTGCGGACCAACGTGGCGATGTTTATGAACCGCGAGCTTTTCTCGCGCGTTCCGCTATTCCAGAACGCCTCCCCGGGCTTTGTCGAGTCGCTGGCACCGTACCTCAAACCGCAGATCTTCTCGCCCGGCGATGTGGTTATCAAGGAGGGCTCGACCGGGGCGGAGATGTTCTTCATCTCGCGCGGGACGGCCAAAGTGATCGAGAAGGGCGAAGTGGTCAACACACTCCACCAGGGCGCTTACTTTGGTGAGATGTCGCTGCTAGTGCCGGACTCGGCACGGACGGCAACGGTGCAGACGGTCTCGTACTGCGACCTGTTTGTCCTGTCCAAGGCTGACCTCGCGACCGTGCTCAAGCTGTTCCCGGCAGAGGAGGCCAAGATGATGAAGCGGGCGAAGCGGCTCAAGTGGCGGGCAGATCTCCGCAAGGTCCTGGCCGGTCTACCCATGCTTGCTGGCTCGAGCGAAAAGTTCCTCATCCAGCTCCGCGATGCGTTTGAGCTCCGGGTCTTCCGGTCGACCGAGACAGTCTTTACCACCGACGCACCGGTCGACGCGCTGTTCTTCGTGGCTCAGGGCTGGATTCAGCTGATGAGCGCCGACGGGCGGCTCGGGCCGCAAATCACAACGTCTGGACTGATTGGCGGCATCTCACCGTATGCGCGGTGGAGCGGCGATGGGCGTGCTGGCGCCCACACGGTGGTGCTTGCACTCTCCGCCGAGGCGCACGCACAGTTTAGTGCCGATCACCCAAACCAGGCGAGTGAGCTGACTCAGCTGGCGCGCAAGTTTGTCTACTCGTCTGAGGATCACGATGCCGGGAGCGGTGGGGATCGGGTGCGGGCGTCGGACAACGACCAGGCGCAGCTGGAGCGGGTGGTGCCGCTGTTGGGCGACATGGCTGAGCTGATGACGGGCGACAATGTGCGGTTTATGGCGTCGCTGCGGCATGATTCGCTCCAGCTGGAGCGGCTCTCGTCGGAGCAGCTGCTGTTGGCGTCGGAGGCGCTCTCACGGCTCGGCTTTGTCATCACAACCGAGCTCTTTGCGCGGCGGTCGTCACGGGCCAAGTCTGGGCCGGCCAAAATGCCGCCGCGGCTCGGGGCGCAGAGCGCGGCGGGCGGGCTTGGGTGACAGGTGCAAGCTTCAGGGACCGACGCCATCGTCAGGAGCTGTGACAAGAGTGCCGTCGACGTGGGTAGCAACGAGCGATGACGGCTCGAGCGAGCGCTTGTTGCCGACAAGGGCGCCAAGGGCACCGAGGTAGTTTTGGTGGTGCGAGAAGGCGGCGCGGAGCGAGCCGCCGGACCAAAAGTCGAGGCCTGTGACGAGAATGTCTTCCATGACGCCCGGGCGGAGCATGCCGCCCATAAAGAAGACATTGGCGAGCTGCGGCTCGCCACGGTCCTGTGACGATGCAATCTTGTCTGCAACAAGGGTGGAGATCTGGGCGATGTTGTTGAGGACGAGGACGAGGGTGGCACGGGCGAGGTCGGCATCGCGGAGCACGCCTGGCTCGCGTGGGTTGTGCGCCATGGTGGAGATCTTGCCAAAGTCCGAGGCGACGATGGAGCCGTCGAGACCAACAGCATTGTAGCCCGAGCCGTAAATGTCCGAGACAAGCATGGCGACGGTGTCGCGCGAGCCGGCCGAGGCGCCGGCGATGGCCTCGTCAAAGGTGGCATACTTTGTGAGGAGCCGACAGAGGCCCCAAAAGGTGGCGCCGCCGATGGAGGAGCCCGATATCCTGCGAGCGACCCCGGTCGGCCCGCCATCGAGATGCAGGACCGAAACACCAGAGCCAATGTTGACAAGGACGGCGTCAAGCGAGGCTGACGCGGCGTCAAGGGGCTTGCGGGCCGAGAGTGTCATCGAGTCCTTGTCCACAGTGTACCAGTAAGATTGCGCAGCCGGCCCGTGGTTGGCCATAAGGAAGCGGAAGCCAGCGGCAAGCGCAGCCATTTCGTCAGACGGCTCGAGAGAGACCGATCCCGCGGCTGAGGAAGCAAAGGCGGCCTCGAGCGTGTGGCGGTGCTTGAACGCGCCGCCGCCGGTCACGGCCAGCCGGTCGCCGATCTCGCCGGCGTCAGGATGCTCGGCAGCGAGATCGGCAAGCAGTGCGAGAGACGTTGCCAGAGCCTCTGCGTCTGCGGTCTCGAAGCGAGAGAACCTCAGAACGCCCGACTTTGTCCGTAGAGACAGCGAGGGCTCCTTGACGGCAAAGGCATACGACGGGTGGCGGCGCCAGGCACGGATGGTCTCTCCCAGCCAGCCCGAGTCTGGCTCAAAGAACGCCAGCTTGGAGAGCGAGCCGCCCATGTCCACAGCCACAGCATCCAGAACCGTATGCATCCCTCGCGTCGTCGGCCCGGAGATGAGGGGTGTCTGCGGGTTGAGCCGAGTCCGCTCCTTGGCGGGTGCTTGGCTGACGCACAAGCCCGTCGCCACCGAGTAGAGCGGGGATACGCTTCTTGTCCATGGCCGTAGCATGGTGGCGTATATGTGTGTGGGGGGCTGGGTGGGTGGCAAGGAGAGGAGTGGTTGCTGGTCGCTAGACGTGCTGCCGTGCTGTCCACCTTGTCGACGGTCTTCCGCTGTGTCAAGCGGCAGCCAACACACACCGGCGGCTACCGGCCACCGAGCCGGATACTGAATGACATTGGGCGCATGGCATGGTGCTTGGGTGTGTCACGCGGCATCAGCATCGTCATTGGTAGAAGCATCGGCAGCAGCATCGTCATCGGTAGAAGCATCGGCAGCAGCATCGTCATCAGAAGCATCGGCAGCAGCATCGTCATCGGCAGCAGCATCATCATCGGTAGAAGCATCGGCAGCAGCATCGTCATCGGTAGAAGCATCGACAGCAGCATCATCATCGGTAGAAGCATCGGCAGCAGCATCGTCATCGGTAGAAGCATCGGCAGCAGCATCGTCATCGGTAGAAGCATCGACAGCAGCATCGTCATCGGTAGAAGCATCGGCAGCAGCATCGTCATCGGTAGAAGCATCGGCAGCAGCATCATCATCGGTAGAAGCATCGGCAGCAGCATCATCATCGGTAGAAGCATCGACAGCAGCATCATCATCGGTAGAAGCATCGGCAGCAGCATCATCATCGGTAGAAGCATCGGCAGCAGCATCATCATCGGCAAGCAGCATCGGCAGCATGACTGGTACGGTCACCATCACCACCACGATGACCAACACCACCACCACCGCAGGCGCACCGGTAGGCACTTGACCCCAAGGCCGAGTCGTCACCACATACCTGCCCACCACCGCCCACCATGTCGGCGTTCAAGAACCTCCTCGGGGGCAAGAAGGAGGAGGAGAAGACCTTTGTTGACGACATGCGCGAGTCATGCAAGCTGTCGTACCGTGAGGTATGTCGGGGGTAGGGGGGGGTGGGTGGGTGGGTGGGTGGGTGGGTGGGGGTGGTGGCGCGTGCGTGTGCAGGCAGATGGGGGGAAGAGGGCAGGGGGGGTACTCATGGTGGGTGGTGGTGGCGGTGTGTGTGTGTGTGTGTGTTTGTCTATGTGTAGAGGCTGTATGGGTTTGGGATCATGTTCTCTGTGGGATGTGTCCTCGGTATCATGTCGACGTTCTTTGTGTGGGACATCCCCAAGGGCAAGCCGGCGGCGTTTGCCATCACCTACTCGCTCGGCTCGCTCTGTGCCATTGGCTCATCGGCCTTTCTGGCTGGGCCATGGAAACAGATCAAGTCGATGATGAAGGAGACTCGGATTATTGCAAGCTCAGTGTATGTGGTGGCTATTGGCTTTACCCTCTACTTTGCTCTCGGGCCCAACGAGCCTGTCCTCGTCCTCATGTGCATCATCATCCAGTTCCTGGCTGGCATCTGGTACTGCCTCTCCTACATTCCCTACGCCCGCCGCTGCGTCAAGTCGACGCTCGGCGGTATGGTCGGCGTGTAGAGAGTCAAAGGTAAAACATATCGTATGCGAGGGAAGCGACGTGCTCCTTCCGTGCTCAGCTCTGCGCCGCAAGCGAGTGCGACGAGCCACGCTGGTTATGGAGCATAGACGAGCGCGAGACCGAGCGCGAGACCGAGCGCGATGCCGAGCGGTCGCACGACGACGGAAGTGAGTACGAGTTGTCTGACGAGTATCCACTCTTCGAGTCGGCGTCAGTCGTGGTCGCCACGGTGGTGGCGTCGGCCAGCTCCGGCTGGCTCGCGTCGCACGCGGCCGACGCCTCATCACCGCCTTCGGTGGCTTCGGCCGCCGCCGCCGCCGCCTTGCTTTGCTCACTGGCCTCAGCCGCCGCAGCGGCGGCGATGGCAGCTGCAGCCGCAGCGGCGGCCGATGGTTGGTCGTCGCCCGCGCTGCCATCCGCCATGCTACCGGCCTGAGCCATCATGGCGGCGCGCCACTGGACAAACAGCGGGTCTCGCTCCAGCAGCAAGGCCTGGAGCTGGCTCCGCGTCGCCTCCGACACCCCTTCGTTGCGGTCGAGGGCAAGCCGGGCAAGGACCGGGTTGACGACGGCAGCCTCGAGGAGCTTGAGGGCGCCGGCCTCGTCGATGGCGTTGTGCGAGAGATTGAGCGAGGTGAGGACCCGGTTGCCTTCGGCGTAGTACTTGCCGTTAACGACCTCGATGCCACCGAGCATGTCTGCCAGCGTCTCGGTTTCTTCAGGTTTTGGTGGTGGCTCCACTTTGCCCTTGCCGCGGTGACGCGAAGAGCGCCCGCGGTCGCGGCGGTCGTGCTTGCCGCCGCCGCCGCCGCCGCTCTGGTGGCGCGACGACCGGCGCGACGACTTGCCCTTGCCCTTGCTCGCGCGAGCGCGATTTCTCGGCGAGGGGGTAGCGGCGGACGCGCGCTTGATGCGACCGACAGGGGTTCCACGCACCGGCGTTGCGGCCTGCCCACCCGTCATCGACGGCTGGACTCCAGAAGAGCGGAGCAGCTCATTGGTGGCCGACGACTCGTCGATAATACCGATCATGCGGGTTCGCAGTTCGATTTCCTCTTCGGACATGGCGTAGCGCGAGAGTGTCGAGGCAAGCGAGAGCGCGCCGACAGTGGTTACCGCGTTGCGAGCAAGCGAGAGCGAGACCAATCGCTGGTTGACCCGCAGCGCCTCGGAGAGGGCCGCGACACCGACATCGGTCACATCGTTGTGGAAGAGGTTGAGCGAAGTGAGCGAGTGGTTCGACTTGAGCGCATCAGCGAGGACGGCGGCGTCGGCATCGTTGAGGTGGTTGCCGCGGAGCGAGAGCGACGAGAGCGAGACCTGGGTGAGCAGTGATGTGTACATCGACGAGTCGACCGCCGCTCCTGCTGCGCTCGGCATAAAGTTGAAGTCGACAGCGAGCGTCTGGATGGGTGCGGTGGCCACAATGTGGCGGACGAGCGCCATCTGATCCGGCCGGATAGCGGCGTTGCGAAGAAAGAGCGAGGTGACGAGTGGGAGCTTGGGTGCGAGCAGCGCAATGGCAGTCAGTGTGCCGTCGTCAAGCTGGTGGCCGACAAGGCGAAGTCCCTCAATGACAGTCGTCCGCACAAACGGGATATTGGCGTCCATGGCGGCGAGGACTTGCTGAGCCCACTCGGCCTCATACACCTCGCCGATGCCGCGGATGGCCCCATCGATGTCAGCGTCGACGTCGGCAGCATCTGGCCCGCTCTTGTCGGCGGCAGTATCTGCAGGAGCGGCGGGAGCGGCGTCGTCCTTGTCGCCGCCGGCCGCGTCGTTGTCGGCAGCGGGAGCGGCACCTGCTGCGGCCGACGTGTTGGCCGACGACCGACGGTTCCTGCGCTGCTTCGACTTGCGGCGGCGCGACGAGCGCTCGCCGGACTCGCTTGTCCGACTCTCAGCCATCTCAGGCACCGAGCTGTCTTTGGCATCATGATGGCCCGGAACGAGCAGGTTCTCACCCGACCGCGAGGTCTGCAGGCGCGAGGCCGGGCGGCCGGGCTGATCGTCGACGCCGGCCAGCAGCGCAAGCGGTGGGACCAGATCAAGACCCGGGTGCATGGCAATGCCAAGAACGGTGCACTGCAGCGCGTAGTCAAAGAAGAAGTCGTCGGAGCGAGGGATCTGCGGGCGGTCGCCGATGCCGATCCAGCCGGCGGGCGGGCGTTCTTGCGGGACTGAGCTTGCCGGCGAGCGAGGAGTCAGCGCTTGCTGCGACGGCGATGCCGGGAGCAAAGGAGGAGCCGGACGTTGGCTAGCTTCCCACCACCTCGGCTGGTCAAGGAGTACCGGATCAGGCAACTCTACCGTCGACGCTCTCCTCACCCCCATGCCGCTGCTGCTCCCTCCACTGCCTGCACCACCTCCATTGCTGGCCATAGACCCAAGTGTGCCTCCGCGACCTCGCTTGGAAGGCGCAGGCATGTATGGGAAAGGGTATATAGGTATGTGTGTGTGTGTGTGTGTGTGTGTGTGTGTGTGTGTGTGTGTGG